TTGTCTTTATTATTTTCTTTGTATGAAATCAATCTGCGAAAAATTGCTTCATCGCATGCAATATCTAAGCATCCAGTGTTGGCTACTCCTACATCATCATAATATAAATCACATGCATTGTGAACGTTTATATCACAGTTTGGACTATCTCCCGGTTTAAGTATAACGACATTTGGAGGTGGTACTTGACATCCAATTGGTATCTTTTGTGAAATTTCATTGAAAATATCATTTATATCCCAGTTATTAAGACGTGTAGTCAAAAAATTGTCTCGTAGGAAAAAAGAAGATCACTTGTAAAAGCTGAAGTGCCAAATATATTCAAATTTATAGATTGATTACTATTATTTACATGTTGTAGTTGTGATGGCATAGTAAATTGAAATATCATCCTTAATGTAGCATGCATAGATTTGCGTGTAGTGTCAAAAATATTTCCATATGCAAAAGTTCGCTCTACAAAGTCTATATTATCAATTATTGAAATATTCCAAATATTTTTGCCTTGTATTAATCTGCTTTCCGGTTTTGTTTTATTTATACAAATCTTTTCTAATCGTTTTTCATGTTGTTGTGTGTGTGATACCACATTTGCCACACAAAGAATATTATATAAAGAGTGAAATAATGTTGGTTTATGGCAAAGAAAACTCATGATATGAGTAAACCAAATATTAGTGCCTGGAAATGCGATGTTCAACTAAGGTTGCTTGCTGAAATCCCTTAGTGACTGTCTAAATTCTGTCGAAATTATAATAAACTATTAGTAAATAACCTGTCGAAATTCTGACGAATTTTGAAACCCGTCGTAACCAAAATTATGTCGAAATTCTAATTAATAATTAGTGTGTAACCTGTCGAAATTATGACGATATTTTTCTGAAAGGATTTAGGCAAGCATCCTTATGTTCAACACTACTGAAATAAGAAATATAGATATTTTTTTTACACGATTTATATCAAAAATCTTCAATGGAAGACCTCTTTGCTTTCTTTTTTTTAATAATACTTATATTTTATCCATTGAAAAAATTTGTCAAACATGAAGGAAAACTATTTTGATATTCTGCTAATGATACTGGATTTTCAAGTTTTGCTTTATTTTTCTGTACATCATGTCGTGCTTTCCATGTTGCAGTTCCCAATGCTTTTCCAAGATCTGTAGCTGCTTCAGAGGTAATATTATATTTTGAATTATTTACTGAATGAATGTGTGCTAGTTTTAAGACCATTTTGATAAAAAAAAGACTCAGAGAACATGTTATTACTGAGGAGAACTTGGTATTATAAAATGACAACAGAATAGAATTCAAATGTGCTAAAAGAACTTTTTTTTATTTTCGTCAGTGGTTTCTGCTATATACAAAATCCAGCGACCCAGAATTTGAAGTGCCTCGCTTGTATCATTTTTATGCATATTTATGCATTCAAAATTTGATTTATTTTCATGATCTTGTCTTTCATAAAAATATCCTCCATGTGCAATAAAACATTTTGAACAAATATACTGAGGTCGATATTCAGCTTCTGGATTATTAGTGATATTTTCTAATTCTTTAATTTGTTCAAATACAGGACAAACTTTAAGTCCAATACAAGGTATTTGAATATTTTTTTTTAAAAATGCGTCTTGAATGCTGTATACATGTTTCACCTCGACTGAAAAAATATTTTGACTTATTGCAAAATAAACAACGTCGACAAAAAATCCAGCTCTTTTCAATTGATCGTGATTTTTTAACATGTGAAAGATGAAGTTGATTTTGATCGAAAAGAAAATGAGATTGACAAACACCTATCATCGACAATTTGTTTTCCACTTGGGCCTGTTGAAAAATCTTTGTATCAATTTCCCAAGCTTCAACAAGTTGAGAAAGTGGTCTCTGTTTTTGTGAATAATTTGAACAGCATTGAATATGACCATCAATTAAATCCAGAATTGGACAAACTGATAATATTTGATTAGCATTTTCTTCTATATTCTCAATAAAATATTCATTTTCATTATTTGATCCAAATATAATTGATTCTGGTTCGAATGCTAGCGTCTCATTACTATTTGTTTCAGTATCAATATCAATATCCTTTAAAAGAAGTATATCCTCGTCTTCATCTGCTTCTGTCAAAGTGCGTGCTTTTTCAAAATTGATTTTATCGAAAAAAAAGGAATTTGTTTCTATATTAAAGTCCAATGCATCATTTATACTCTCTGTTATAACATTTCAGATACAAGACTTTTAGTAGTCATGTCCATACTTTCAATATCTTCCACATCATAATCATCTGGAACATAGTCGAAATTGTCAAAAAATAACATATTATTAAGACTTGTATTGCTTGTGTTCATTTCTGGATCTTGTGAATTCATAGTGAGTGTTTGCCGAAAACAATATGAAAGCGTTTTCTGTAAAGAAGATAATATGGAAGCATTTTTTATAAAAATAACAATGTTATAATTATATTTTGGATGCTTGATGAGACTATTGATATATAAAAATTTAAATGTTATTATTAGATTTTCTTATTTTAACTATATATAGCAATATTTAGACAGATATTGAATAAACATAATGATAATAATAATAAGAATAAATGTTTGTATAGCCATAGGCTATACAAACATTTATTGTAGTCATTCTAGAATAACTAATCAAATTATGTCAGTTCCTAATCACATGATGTGGTGTAATCTGATTGGTCAAACCACACATGTGATCAGGAACTG